TCGCAAAACAAAATCGGGTAGTATTTGGCCAGATATATTGGAAGATATACCAACCAGTACACTTTAACTAAAAAACGTTTTTAATAAATTATGGTTTAAATCAAACCGAGTAAATCAGTCCTTGTTAACAGACAAAACGCATTTAGTCAAAGAGTTGACTCGATCGAGTAGTATAACAAAAGGGACACAACGATGAGCTAACTTTAATAACACTATAATTGCCTTCATACTAATGAATTTGTCTAATGAAATGGTGTGTTTAAAGACATCTCATCTAAAAAAATTATTTTAATCGAGGTAATTTACACGAATCAAGTTTCCGAAAATGGCACAGACCAACTATTGTTAATACTAGAGTGAATCTAATTAAAATTACATTTAACTAAGAGAAAACCCTTATAAAAAAATTTGAAGTGTCATCACTATTGCGACACAACTACCACAAATGCTAATAAGTTATTTAATGCTTAAATAATTATTGCTTTTAAAAGTTTCATTTAATGTTGTCGAAGGTGTTTTAGTTGTTCATTCATGTTTATTGGGTTAAGTCAAATAATTGTTGATTGGCGTTGGTGAGTCAATGGGAATCTTTGTGGTTTTGTCTCTTACTAAAACAACATTTTTTTAGGAATTTTTTTTATTTAAGAGTAAGCAAGCCAAGAACTTTGAATCGCTTTATCCATCTTTCAGATAAAAAAAAAATACTATATAAATTTATTAACTATTTTCTATTGAATTTTACACGCCAAACCGATTTTGACGGGATTTTCACAGGCAGGTAGAGGACTTTTCAAGTGATCTAGCAATATTTTAGGTTGGTTATAGTACAACCACATTTAAGTTGTGCTTCAGTTCTTCCAGTAATTTCTTATAAAGCATAAAGCTCTTCGAAAGTCTGTAACGATAAAAAAGTTTTAACTGTACTTGTAGTTAGGGGCTGCAATTAAACAAGGTCTTAATATTGAAAATTCAAACTAAAATTTATAATACCAAATTTATTTACTTTAAATAAATTAAAAATAAATGTTAGATGAAAATGTATATTTTAGATACCTATGATCTAAAGTTATGCTTACGACTGTCCTAATCGATGCAAATTATTGAATAAATAAATTAACAGAAATTTGTTTACTAAAAAAATCTGATCTAAAGAAATTTTGTAAATTAAGACGCTTAGACTAGAGCGGGAAAGTAGAAGATAAGACCAAGGCCTAACCTTATGTTTAAGCTTATCTATCTGAAATTAGAACCAACATAATTAACTACATAATACCGAAGCCAATATTAGTCTATCTTGAATATTTGTTATTTATTTTATGGTCTTTGATATTCTTCGATACTCTTCTTCAAATAATATTTATATTCTGCTAAAAAAAATCTAATCCAATGAAATTTTGTAAATCAAGATGCTTAGACTATAGCGGAAAAGTAAAAGGTAGAACCAAAGCCTCTTGGCCCTGCTTTTTGGTTCCTAACAAGCTTAATCCGCTCCACCGTTTTCAACGTCCGAGAAGTTGCTTTAGCACTTACTTGGCATTGGACAATTGCATAGTGCCGTTAATGTCATGAATTGATCGATTTGGCTGATCGCACATAATGGTGCCCTTTATTTGTGATAGGTATTCAAGATCGGTGTATTGAGCCGTCTCTGAACGACCTTGGCGAATCTTTAAAGTCGTTTCACCATCTAAATTGACGGTGTCGACGTGACAGATACTCAGCGTTGGGATAATGTCTCAAACTGATATCCTGCTTTGCTATGTCTTACCTGGAACACACGATTACCAGGTCCGCTGGGCAAAACTCGTTATTTTTCACTTTAATGATATCTCCTAAGTTTATGTTTTCCCATCTTTTTTTTATCCATTCGCCTTCCACTGATAGAACCATATTATTAATATAATACTAACCTATATTTATGTTTAGACATTTCTGTCTGAAGTTAGAACCAACATAGTTAACTACGTAATATTTGAATAGACTAATATTGGTTTTTAATTTTTACCTGGCGTTAACCGTAATAATATAAGTCATATTAAATTAACTTTAATTAATAGGACGGACCATTGCCATTTTTCGACTAGACGTCTAGACCGGACCGCACCCGAATAATTTATTGTTTAACTATTTTGGCAATAGATATAACACGGTAAATGAAAACGTGGACCAAAGTTCGACACAGAGACAATAATTATTAATTACTGTTCATGGGTATAAATTTATATTATGGGTAGATTTAGAAATGATATAATAATATATAACATTTTTTATAATATATATTTTTAAAAAAAATGTAGGTAGATAATAAAAAATATCTACTTACCTATCTTATAATAACATTTTTATTAAAATACACTAGCTGCCAACAAATAATTATTATTGTTGTAATAATAAATATAATTTTTGATTTTAGCAGAGTTTGCAAAAAATTACTTGTACACAATTCCTTAACTAAAAGGGCATATGTCTTCGAGAAAACGATTAAAAAAATATTGTGTTAAGAATTTGTAGAAAAATATTTGATATTAAAAAAAAAGTAAAAGTGGTTTTAAATCGCCACCCACGACGCTTGGCTAATGGTAATAGAGATTAACATAATAAATAACAACAATTATGATTTTAGATTTTAATAATAATGTTATAACAATAATAATAATAACATAATGTTAATGTTCGCTACATACCCCGCACAGATGTTCAGGTAATAACTTATATGATTGTTCTATTCAACTTCTTGGTCAAGTTTCAATTAAGAAGGTAATTTTTAAAAAAATTATAACAACTATAACTGGTTCCATTTTTAATAGCATTATTTTAAATTTAGACAGAATTATTATAGCAATTTTTCTGACCTGAAGCTAACCTGTAACTCGAGTGTTTTACTCTAGCTATAGAAAAGAAGTACAGTTGCTTTTTTACTTGGTTTAATCGGTCTTTTACAATGTTTCTTTTTTTGAAGGGGGTAAAACATTTTTTCGGTCCAAGGTGTAGTCTAAACTATACCTGCTATAATATTACACAAAATTCTTATCTAATATTATCCACTACTGCAAACACGTTAAACATTTTACCTATCAATGTCAAGACCAGTCTGACCAAGTGACCACGAATCATTTAAGTAACGATAGTTTGTACATTTTGTGTTACAGTTTTAATAGAAAACAACCTAAAAATTGCAGTGCTAATAAAATATTTAAATCTTAATAGTCAAAAACCGTTCAGTGATGTGCTATTTACATTAATACTAACACATATCGTTTTACGTTAATGTTGAATATATTCGCGTTTAATTAATTCTATTGAAAATTGGTATTCTAAAACTAAACAATGTTTAAGCAGAATTAAGAGAAATGAGAAAATGTTAAATACATTTATTTTAAATACGTATATAATATACAAAATTATTATTTATATAATAATGAAAAAACTTTAAATTATTATGAAAACGTTTATTATTATTTTTTCTGTAATGTGTTTTATTTTTATCCATTTTCCTACAATTGATCTTATGGTACCTTTCTACATCTGGTCATGAATAATAATTTTACTAAATAATTTTTTTATTTATATTTTAAGCCCTTTGAAAATCTCATATGGCTTTATCGTTACTTTACTGAATAATTGTATATTCACTTTCTTAAACGGAAACGCAATGAAAACAAGTTTTAAGTTGTGTTATTTATTGAAATAAGAAAAAAACGTATTTTGATGTGTTGTTTTTTATGCTTCTTTGACAGTTATAGTCGTACACCAACGTACTAAATAAGAAACTATTCGAAAACAAAAAATACTCTTTTGAATCGACCTAGTTATATTATTTGAAGTCTCCAACGTTAAAACGATTTTGATTATTAAGATATTTTGGGTCCATTTAATTTTTAACTTGGGAAATTAAAATTGTAGGGCATTTGTCAGTATTTCGAATTTAGTTTTATAAATGTATAGAAAAAATATATATTTTAAGACTTCCAGAATACATTCCATCTCTCGTGGAATATATTTTATATTTTAATATAAATGTTTGGATGATAAGATGGATTTTACAAATATTATGATATAACTCCAAAAAAAAGACCACATATTTTGTTATAAAACAACTAGGTATCAAAAACAATTGCAATGTATTCAAATTAAAGCTTCGAAAATTAAAGTTAACCATTTGGATAGCGCGTTCAATCTTTAAGTTGTATTTCCTCAAAACTTTATTTTTTGAGTGTGGCAGTCTTGTTTTAAGACATGATCTGAGCGCACGGCAATGAGCCATGCCAAGTTCCAGCAATGCCAGTGTATCTTTACACGAACCCGGTACAAATCACCCAGTTTTTCTAACCCGCATATCTCTGTTTCCTCTTAGGATAAGCTTTTGAAATTTTAAACATAAATTCAGCTCGATTAGCTTAGGATTCTGTAAAAAATAGAGCTCTTCATTTTAAGCCTTTTAAAAAGGGGAAAGTTCTTAAAGTTTTCATTTTTGTTACAACTTCCCGTACAGGTAGAAACGTGAAATTTGGCACCAAGGCAGGTCTTTAATTGTAACTAAAGGGAAAAATCTGAACGTTGCAATTTTCTCAAAATTAATGCCGCTCCAGGGAGTGCAATTCTAAATGCATGAAATGACGCACCTAAATATTACTTGATTGGATTGGCGCGGTAAAGTTTTAAGTTAAAAGATAAACGTAAATATATGTACGTATTTTTTTTTATATATTTAAGTATTTTTCATCGACAAAGGCATAAACAAGTTCAAGGACAAAGTCAGCTAGGAGTCGTTTGGTTTGTCTTTTTCTATGTGCACTAATATTGAGTGTAAAAAGCCAGCACAATGGGTTCGGGGCGCGCATTTTTTTCTATTTTTTGAACAACTGTTATGCGAATTTAAGGTAAATAGACGCAAAAAAAAAATTTTACTAACCGTGTGTGGTTTATACACTTTGCCTTTTTATGTATATATATTACACCGGCGCATTTCATACAACGACAATTCAAAATATAAAATAAAACCTAATACATTATCGTTGTAAATATCTTGCAAATTCTCATTAACGTGTATACCTTAGCAGCAAATATACATTGTGTGTGCAGCAAATAACAAAGGTTTATTAATTCTGTTACTGTTAATTCGTTATTTTGACTTCAACCCCAATAGTCGTTCTATTCTACACGTACTTGATTGAATTTAAACTATTATGCATTTTAAGAGTGCCGTTATTCTTTGTGCCGTGAATTTCATTTCATCAGTTTGGGTAAGATACTTATTTCTCTAAAATAATTGTAGATATATTTATACTTATACAAGCTAACTTTTATAATATATCTCGGTCACTTAAGCGTTAAAACCTCACGCCCATAAGTTTTCAAAAGGTAACATGTGGAATTGACATTTTAATTTGACAAATATTTGCAAAAAATCATGACTGGTTAATAACCAGTTTTCAACAATGACTTATTAAGTACTTAAAAATTTAGTACGGTATGAAGGGTGGATTGGAATTTTAGTTTTATATGCGAGAGTTATTCAATAAATTTAATAATTTCAATAGTTTTCGCAGAAAATGAGTGTCTTACGGTAAAGGGATCACCCGGTACTAAGTTTTAAGCTCTAAGTCATTACATTTTATTTCAGAGCATTGGACTAAATAAGGACCAAATAGAAATATGCATTCGTGTGAACGACAATAGCAATCCTGGTACCTTTACTAGGAATATCACAGACGGTATGAAACAAGATTTTTGAATTAAAAATCTTGCATGAATTTTTTAACACGAACATTGTAACATATTATTTAAATAGCTGTTTCATTGTTTTAATCTATAGACAATTAACATTGCGTTATTGCTTTAATAGGTTTAGGCTTGGCTAATCATATACTATTAAACCAATAGATATTATTTACCATTAATTTGGTTGTAAAATAATGATGAAATAAAGTGTAAGAGATAGGGTTACTTTAAAAAAAAATATTCAAGTCAAGTTAGAAATTTAACATATATAGTACTCGATTAAGTAACTACTTAATCGGTCTAAATAGTTACATTTGTTAAGCATAAATCATTGAATTTAATGTATATAAAAATCTCAAACTTGTCAAGCTTTGTTGACACCTATTGTATTTGTTATTAATAACTAATTGCATACTATTTATTTTATATAGAGGGCTACTATAATTTGGCTATTAAGAAAGCATTTTTGGAGTTAGCGTATACAGATAAGAAAGAACTTGACAGCTTCGGGGTATTTTATTTAAAATAACAAGTTTTATAATACTAATTTTACCTAAAACATATCAGCTATTAACAAATATCAAAAAATTGTAAATAAATTATTGCAAAATATTCGTGTATGTTTAATATTGTGCTTAGGTTCCAATGCTGACGACTATTGAAGTAGAGTTTTACCTCAATAAGTTCAATGAACACCTCCAACTTAACGGGCAAAATAGATACCTTACAGAAGGACAACTATCAGTTTTATTTAACCAGTTACACCTTACAGAAGGAGAGAAGGCAATGGTCGAACAATTAGCAGAAGGAAAAAGAGGTTGTATTAAATTTAGGTCGAGGAAGTGGTTTACTTCAAGTTAACAGTCTTCATTTTTTTATTTTAGGTAAAGTCCACTCAGCGGCATTCTTGTCAATCATGTTAGAAATTCTACCGGAAGTAAGTAATTAACTGTGCAAGGAAAAAAAACAGTATCTCTTGAGACATTAAATAGAAACCATACATAAATTGGAATACCCGAATAGATATTTTAAAATGAGGATTTTCAAAAAGATGCTATTATTTGATATTTTTGAAAATTGGCCATAAATATGTTTCTGGATAAAACTAATGAATGCAAAATTCATGTTTTTGCAAAAGCAAAATTTAAAGAATCATTATAAAATAGAACTTAACAAATCGTTAAAAACTGTACACATACTTAAAATTTAAAGAATGAGTTGACATTTGTGTACGGCTAGCTTATATTATAGGGCAATGGTCTAAACGAAGCACAGATAGAAGAGTTCATTATGTTGTATAGATTTCACGATGTTAAAACCGGTCGTATCGATCCTTTGAAAATTCAAAACGTCTTGAACAAGTTTCATATGGCTATTGAGCCGCTCGAACAGTCAATGCTATTTAAATCTGACCGTAAGATAAACATAAAAATATATTCACGTTAGATAGGTACGTTCTAATTTTGTATACAATATATTATGATATTGAAACTTGAACAGGACCCTTTGCTAAAGTGTTGATGGAGTTGATGATTGTTACGGCAGAACGTTTTAGGACAGATAACGAAAACGTAATATACAATTTACTTTTTGTCAATTTAAAATGTCGTTTGCTGTCTTGCGTTACTTCCTGTTTTTCAATTATTCGATACAGTGTACTTTATTTTGGTTTGACGACATTTCAGGACGAGATAGTGTTAAGTACAAAAGAGATCAGGTCAATGATATCTGCATTCATAGAACGTGACCTGGACAAAGACGGTATTCTATCTGAAAACGAAGCGAAAAAGTTCGTGAGAGAATTTATGGCTAAAAATCCGCAAATTCCAACATTACATTTTAATTGTAAATTCACAAGTTGATACATTAACGCGTTAATAACGATTGCTGGTCCTCAATTAAACAATTTTTATTTTGCTTTTTAGATAATGACATAAACGTTGCGAAGTACTTAATGTTCCAGATACATGCAAAAAAAGTTGAATATTCCAAAAAATAAATATTTGAAAGATTGAAATGTTTGAATTTTTTTAATTAAGTATAATTGATAAAATATTTTTAATTTATCTATTAATTATAATATTTAAAGCGTTGCGTTTGATTTATAGTATACAAAAACTAATTTATAATTATTATTTTAATTTTTTTTGTCACGGAATATATTGTTAAAATAGTAATATCATGATTAAACGATTCCATAGCTAAATGTAATTATTTTTAATTAAATAAATAACTTGTTATAATTTATATAACACTATTTTTTCATGTATTCAATCGAAATAAAAATTCAAAATTATTTTTTTTCCTCTGGCATTAGTGAAAATACATTTTAAAATTATTATTAATGAAGCTAATTTGTGTGCGTCTTATTATGTTGTATATTAAAATACTACAAATATTTAATAGTAAAAAATATTTTCATCATATTTGATTGAACAGTTTTACGACGGTCAAAACCAAGAAAATATGATTTTTACTTTTTCTTAAAAAGGGCGCAAGTGTTAATCAGATTTTGTTACAATACTTAATGCCTAACAATGAATCTATGGATTTTTAATACCTTTAATACGGATTTAAAACTTGTTAACAAACAGAAAATGATAGCATGACTACTATGTTGAACACAAATCCTTTAAATACGATTATACCTACCTTTCAAAAAAACTTTATAGAAAATAAAAAAACTGATAAAAACTGTCTATTGTAGCTAGTTTTAATCTTAAATATTTTAAGATGGTTTAACTAAAATATCATCTGCATTAATATTGTATATGCTACTCATCACTGGATGTATATGAAATAAAATAGAACCAAATATTTCTTAAAAACGTTTTACAATTTAAAACTATAATATTATGTACTTAAAAATAAATTGTTTTTAATTACAAACTAAAAAATAATTGTACGTAGATTTTTACCAAATATATAGGTAATAAAATTAAAAAAACAATTGACATGGACACGCAACGGTGGATAAAATAATGTTTCATGAAAAGTCAAATACGAGATACACGATGAGTAAGGACTTAGCAAAATCAGAGAACCTCAACCGTTCCTTAGGGTCACGCTTCCAGCAGCCGTTCATCAGTATACAAATAACAGGCGGACAGTTCAGCGGGATCTCCAGCAACACACCGTCGTGTATTAATTTTAAAACCTGCAAGACAGAACAGTAATACATAACTGATATTGTCGTTCATAATGATGTCTTATTGTTTCAAGCGCGATAACTTTATTTGAAAAATTTTTGAAATTAACGAAAAATCAAATATCTGTTGTTAATCTATAGCCTGGATTAGTTTGATAGCGTGAAATAAAAAAAAATCAACTTAGAGGCATTTAAATTTTTATTTAGGAGGAGGTACAGGCTACAGTTAGAGGGCGCTATGGTTATGATTCACAAATATTCTAAAACGAATAAATTATCATTTATGTTTCCTATAGGTTATAAATATTTGTATATTGCGTTAGTAAAAAGACAATGATTATCATATTGTCACTACTTCCTCATTGGAATATCCGTAGTACGGCTGTTTTCCTAAAGAATATATTTCCCATAATACAATGCCAAACGACCACATGTCTGATTTCAATGTAAATTTGCCAAAAATGACGCTTTCCGGGGACGTCTATCTCACTGGAAACAATCTTGAATTTTTGACCTATGAATAAAAAAGCTTTGGTGTTAAAAAAAATTTTGTGAGAAGAATCAAAATTTCGTCTTTTTCACGTTTGACGTTATCTGAATGAAGATCACAAAAGATCCTCTGATCTACGTAAAAGAGCACATATACACGGTCTTCAGAAGTTCATAACCCACTTGATTTTTTAATGATATACTAAAATTATAAATAAATGACCAAATGGAGTCTTTTTGCTTTTATAAAAAAGAATACCTTGTTGAAAATGATGAGTAGTCGATAACCATTTTTGAGTCATTGCTCTTAAGGTTATTACAGTTTAAATTTTAAGTTGAGGTGTGGAGTGGGGTTGAGTAATGAGCGCAGGTATAAATAATATTTTCGTTTTAAATATATGCATTTTTGCTGTGCAATCCTTTAGTTTTATCTGGTCTCGTTCTTGACGCAGAAAAAACAAATCGCTCAAGATTTTTAAAGTGTTTTATTTTTAATTCTACCAACCTATGTAATATGTTTTTTGTTAAGTATAATAAGTAAATGATTTAATAATAACAATTTGAAAGAACGTAGCTTGAATGGCTTGGTGCCACTTTGTATCCTGTCCTCAATATAAAGCATAACTGTTATGTGCACTTATGACATTTATGTACTTTGCCATCCCAATTAAAATTAACGGTAGAAATTATTTTAATTTTTAAAACTTTTATAGCTAAAATTAAGCGCTTTGAAGTAAACAAATAATAGAAACCTTAACACAGCGGCGATGACCACTGTAGGTAATCTGTTAGTCAGTTATTAATTTAACGTTTATCCGCGTTTACCATCTGCCGCCGTTCCGCACATTAACCTATTTTTATTTAAAAAACTTTTTTCAACAGTTTACATAAAACCGTTCTTAGTACACTCTGTCCGATTTGTTGTTTATATTTTCATTTAACCCCCCTTTATTACCGTCTGAAAATAATAATAAATCCATAAAAAAATAATTTTTAAACTATAATATAGCAATGAATTAAAATTATTTGGTTACATTTAGATTTATTATTATTTTAGATGATGTGATAAATTCACAGCACTGACCATTATGTTATGTGATTCTATTAAGGACGATAAGTTATCAAGCAATCAGTTTGCTTATTTTTGAAAATTTTAATTATAAATTACCATGTATCAAATTTAGTATACAGTTATATAAAATTGTTAGCATTTATGTACGGTTTTATTGAACAGATAATAATTTGCAGACAACCACTGAGTGTGCTCTTTTAGGCTAAGAAATAACGTGTGCTCTTTTCGACTGCACCGGCGTTACACAAATAGTAATTACTTTATAGTAGTCGCAGGTGTATAAGTCTCTACTCATTCCGAAATCAGCAAGTTTTATCGTCAGGTTATTCCCCACCAGGCAATTCCTGCATGCTAAATCTCTATGCACAAATCTCTGGCTGGCTAAATACTTCATACCAGCTGCTATTTGCAACGTGTTTTCTTATATGTTCAAAATTAAAATAATTTACTAAAAATCTACCTATTGTTAGATATGTCTGTACTTGAGACAAACTACAGTGAAAAAACCTATGTTAAACACCCTGTATCTACCTACCTATATGAGACATAACTTCACATATATCCAACCTGAGTTCTAATGCGCTTACCTTGTCTAAGATGGGCAAGTTCGAAAAGTAAATAGTGAACTGTTCACTGTTGTAACGCAACACTGCCGTTAAGTCACCGTATGCCATGTACTCGAACACCATCCAGGGAGAGGATTTGTCTTCTAAAACATAAAGATAAGTGTAACTAATTCTAAAATTACATTTGAACAATTTTGAAAACTATTAATCAAATTCAAAGTAATCTTTCGATTCGTTTGAAAAGTTCTACAAACATTGAATTCAACTGATATGTTTTGGTCAAGACTAGGTAGAGTCATCCACATAATTTTTGATGAGTGTATAATATAATATAGTTATTATAAAACCGCCATTTTCTTAGCTTCGCAGGCAACCAACAGAGAGATTGACAGTGTTATATATTTTGTTAGTTATCATCTAAATATAGCTACATGAATGAAAAATTGTAATACCTTGAGGACAAACTCCGATTAAAGCAAGAATGTTTTGGTGCCTGAAGTACGTCATAATCTCTACTTCCCGCACGAAATCTTCTTTGGCTTTTGCGTTAGCATGATCTTTCAGTACTTTTATTGCCACGGTCTCCACTTTGCCATCCGTATGCCTTAACGTACCCGTAGTCCACACAAAAACATTCAATAAAAACTAAAAATCTATAATATTATGTAACCCATTGATCTAGTTTGAACCGCTATAATAGTTTGGGTTATATAATAAATGTTAAATAAGGTCATACGGATAAGCAATATATTAGCTCATTAAGACATAATTTAAAAAATTCGCCTAAAATAATACCTATTTTTAGTTAACATTTTTCAATTAATTGTCAAGTATAAAATACTATGTTAAATATGAAACTATTCTACTCATAGTAAGACAGACAGCTTTGTGGCGCTCTCTCTTAGTTCAATTTTGCAACTACCAAATCATTTAGACATATTAGTTATTGATAGAGAGCGCCACAAGACTGTCCGAAAAGCAACTGTATAGTACTTTGTGGCCGCTTTTTTATTACTTGTTTGGCAACCATAATATCCATACATTATAATATATACCTATATATTGTAGACATCCTCGACCTAAACTGTCCAACGTACCTTTATTGACATTGCCGAAACAGCCCTGGCCTATTTTCTCCATGGATGATATGCAGTCTTTGCTTAAATACGGTAACAAATTTGTATCCCTTAACGTGTTGAAGTCAGCAGAATCTGACACGTACAGTGAATTCATAGCTTAACAGTCATCTTGTATCATTCCTTCTATCAATATCTTTTTTTTTGCAACACGTCCGTTTCGTCCTCCAGCCACAACACATGGCTAACAAAATGACAATTGCTGTAATGGTCGCCACCACGGCTGCTAACAAAATAATTGGATTTATGGTCATTAAGGAGCCAAGCACGTCCAAGTCCAACGGCTTCATCTGAAATAACGGTAATAAGTAGTAATAATATTTTTATCGTTGTCTGACAACTATGAAGTTATTTAACGATTCAGTCGAGGAACTTTTTTTTTTAAAACAAACGTATGACAAAAATAAAATAAGACAATAAGATTTTTGATTTTTAAAAATTCCAGTAAGTGTAATAATTAAAATTAAAAAAATCGAGACTCGGTCACTTTAAGACCTTAGCGTGAATAGGGAAAAAATAATATTCT